TAATTTAATATTAATTGAATTTAATATATTTATTTAGTTATTTAATATATTCATTATTTTATTTATATATTAAATATATTATATACTTTATTTAAAAATTAAGTATATATATGTTGTGTTTGGATAAAAAGTTTTTGATTCATATAAAAGTAAAGTCAAATATATAACTAAAGTTGTGTTAGACCAAGTGGCTCATGAGACAATTGGGCTGCCTTGCAACTCGGGTTCGAAGCCCCCTCCTTATTATCCACATAATCTGTCACGTCAACTTTACAACTCACCAAAAAAAAAAAAAAAAAACATTCACGTAGGCTAGCAGGTAAAATTTACCCGCTTTAGCCGATCACAGGACGAAATTTCAGGTTTTTTGCACTTACGGGACGTTCTGCAATTGTTTCTTATATAAAACCACTAACAAATGAAATTAATTATATTTAAGAAAAATACTTCGATTAAAGGGGTAGAATGAATTTCTATTTCATATCATCTTAAATAGTATAAAAATATAACATAGATTGTGTTGCATCCAAGGTGACCAAATCATAATTTGACTGTAACAAATCGAAAATTGAAACTAATTTTTTAGTTTCAATATTAAGAATACTGTATTCCGATAGCAGTTAAATTAATCAAACTAGTAATATTTTTTATGAGAACAATTCAATAATTTATAAGTATTTATATATTATTTTATTAATATCTTTGTAAATAAAATGAAATTGTATAATAATTTGTAACTATGTTCTATAAATGGTGGTTCATATTATTTATATAGTTAACTAATAATACAATCGTATTATTATTTTTCCACGAGTCACATAATACAACACTAATAAACAAACAAATAAATTTGTCTTTACTTATTTTTATTATTATAATGCATAAAAGAAAATATAGTTGGAATACCATATAGCCAAATTTATATTAGAACAATGCATATATATCAATCTCGTTGGATTGTCAATTATTTTTATTGAAATTTTAATATATCCTTACTGTTGTTTTTATTAGTATGACGGTCTATCCAACCCTAGGCACACTTCTCACACGAAGATTCTCATTGAGCCAGAGCCAAACTCGATTGCAGCAAAAATCTTGAGTAACAAGATGGCCTTTCTTTATAGGAAAGACTTTCACCATCGGATTACCCCGGACAATGATCGAAGTTGCTTCTGGAGCAGTCATGCCGACGACCTCGGGCCAATAGACCTTGTATTGGCCTAAACCACAACATCGAGTATCCGTGCATCCTAAGCTTTGGCAAGGGGGATAAGGCGCCCAACCACTCATTCTTTTATTCTTTATTATGCTTCTTATTGTAGTTATGTGAAAATGAAGGGTCACATTGGGTATATATATAGTGAACATATTATAATTACATTATGAGAATGAACATTGATATTACAAACATATAATATACTGTATATCAGGTTACGATATTGGTTGACTACTTGAAGATATTATCATAGTGATATTTTTAGTTTTGAGAATGAACAATACTATTACAAACATATAATTATATATATCAAGTTACAATATAGGGTGAATATAATAATAATCATGTAATCTATTAATTAATATAGAAAAAAAAATAGAGATTTACCTGAAATAGAAATTAAAATCT